CTGATGTGAAAGGTACCTTGCAGCTTACATGCTGTACAACCTATGCGGATGACATCGGAAGCCTGTTGAAAAGCTTTAATATATTGAATTCATTTAGTGCTCACTTTGGACCCAGTACAGCTGAGAAATGAAATAGAAACTGCTCACAGTGGCCCAGCAGGGCTGGGGAAGGTCGGTGGGTATCACCAAAGAGGACAGACTCTCCCCACTCAAACTTTCCACCTCCCAAGCTAACCAGAGACCTTATAAAAGCAGATAGGTGATGAGTGGGTGCTGTGTTGACACACTCTGCTCCCTGAAGTTGACATCCAGTAAGTGAGAGGTAGCTATTGTCTGTATGGCACTTAAATTAGAGAAGTGGTTCATCAATGCCTATTTGAGGAGCTATGGGGGGCAAGGTGCTGGGACTGCCTCTGAGGTCAGGCATTGTCTGGTTCCCTTAACAACACAGCCAAATTGCAATTGTCTTTATTTGAAAGAGCCTTAAAAGAATATGACTAATAATTCTTTGCTGAAGAAACATCATTTGAAAGCCTTTCAAAATTCCCTTGAGTGGATATGTATGTCCATTGATGGCAGTGAAGTGCTACTTCATATCAGAGTACATTGCATTTCTTCAGAGATCTGCGGATAGTATTTGGGCATTGGACGTATTCATGTTGGAAGCAAAGACTCCGATTTATTTTTTCTCAGAGCAGGCCGAGCTTCCTTAGTTATCCCCTGCTTGAGTTTTAGTAAGGACACCTTCAGTTTCTGTCCCAGTGCCACTGACTGTTACTTTAACTTCAGAGGGTTCCGAGGCTCCTCTGCATTTGCTCAGTTTAGAGCTGTTGGCTGTGATTTGTGCTCTGCCCAAACCCTCAGGCCCTCTCTCTTCTGGTTTGGTGCTTTTCTGTGTGGTAGTGCGAGTAGTGTACTGCCTCTGGTGCCTTGAGGCCACTCTACCTGCAGGCACAGAAAGCAACAGTGCCTGAGAATTTGTTTCTGGGGTCCCTCCTCCAGCCTCAGCTGATGACAACACTTTTGGGAGTATGAAAGCCCAGAGCCCTTGCCTCCTCATGTGACGACTCTGAGGGACCACTTCCACAGCCACAGCAGAGCTCCCACCCAAAGTCAGGCTGAGGTGGAACTCTGCGTGGTGCCCATGCTTGGTGTCATCCTCCTCCATTCCCCACTCTCCAGGGTCCCCCTGAGAGCATGGCCTTCATCATTCACTTGTGCACCAACTTTCATCTCAGGGTCTGCATCTGGGGAAGCTGACCTAAGAAAATACCATATTACTGTGTTTCCCATACTGCCCACTGAAGTGTCCTGGAGGCTACCAAGAACCCACGGGGGTGTTTATATTTTCAAGGAAAGCAGCTGGATACACAGCATCCCTCAGACAGTATAAATTACTCATGGTAGTTCATGATTCTCACATTCAGATCATGCCACCTTCCTTTGGATGATGGCATATCTTTCTGAAGCTGGGTTTTCCTTGGTTGCTATGATAAAAAGCAAGTACCATGTGAAAATCAGGTGGAATAGGGAATGGAGATGGCAGTGTCCCGTCTGATTCCCAGGCATGAGAAGTTGTTGAGTGTCCCCAGGTGCACACATTGTTAAGTAAATGTGGTTATTTAAAAGTAAATAAGAATATTTTTCTTTCAATGTATGTGTATTATTTTTTCAAATGGATACTGAGTTATTAGGGCATGTGTTGTTATCCAGTTGAACCTAATGACTGGAATGTACAGCTGTTTCTTTTGGTCAGAGTGGCCCTGTGTCGGTCAGAGTGGCCCTGTGTCAGTCATTGTGTGCCAGATGATGTCAGGGGCTTCTACGCACAGTGTCAGCGGTGGTTCAGATGGTTGTTGCGTAAAATGGGTCAAGTGTTCAGATACCAAGTGCCAGTTCTCATTGGAGATCATGTTTGAAATTAACTAATGCTCTTCCTTTAAAATGTCCCTCATTCCTCTTCTGAGTCTGTCCCACTGGTCTTTGAAACATGAACAAACATGCTCTCTCTTGTTTTCTTCTTCCAGAGAGTGGGTTAACCGAGCCCCATCAATTCATTTTCTGAGAGTGTTAATCTGCCTGAGACTACTCATGAGGGATCCATGTTACCAGGTTGGTTGGAAGAAAAATGTTTATTTGCTTGTTATGAAGACAAAATAAAAGAGTGGTTAGCAGACCATGCTAACTTTTTTTCTCTTGCACGACTCAGTAGTTTCCAAATCTGAGAAGTAGCTCATCTGTTATTTAAAAAGATATGGGAGGAGTAATTCAGTAGGAACAAAAAAAATCTGTGTATTTCTACTCTATGGCCTTTGGGATTAAGTGGATGAAGTGGGACTTTTGATCTGTATTTTCATTGTTACCTGTCATTTTACGCCACTGGCATCTCAGAGGGTTTGGTGCTCAGTCACACCTTTGAATATGTATGGGGCTGAGCAGCACCGTAGGTCAAAGCCAACAGTGACAAGCAGGGCCTCCTCCGGGGCTCTGTAGGCAGCTGGTTGGAGAGGCAGGGCCTGCAGCTCCAGAAGTTGCTCCCGAGCCCATGCCCTTCCCCCGTGTCCAGCCTAGACCTTGAATTAGAGGTGAGCAGAGGCCCTCCCATTCCTCCCTGATAAGGGTTCCGAGGTCAAGGGCCCTTTCCTCCTCTCACTAGTCAGTTGAATGGCTGCCTCCAGTTGAGTGCTTCCCAAACTTTAATGCACTTAGAAATCACCTGGGAATCTTGTAAGTGCAGATTCTGATTCGGTAGGTGTGCCCCGAGGCCTGAGGCATTTCTCACAAGCTCCTGGGGGATGCTAGTGCTGCTGGTCCATGGTCCACACTTTGAGTAGCAAGGACCTAGTGCTTTAGCAGTGAGACTCTCAAGAAAAGCTTGCCTAACTCCTCACCTGACCTTAAAAGTTATTCCTTCTAGGGGCAGCTATTAGCCACTTCCACCAAGTGGCATCCTCAAACTGTGTGTGCATCCAAGACACATGGAGGCCTTAGAGATTGCTCGGCCTGCCCTCAAAATTGCTATGACCATTATATTATTATCTAAAAGGGGCAAACTATCTTTTTGTGAATACTATGTGAATAAGGATACTATGTGAATAAGTATCCTTCTTATTCACATATGTTTCTGTTATTTTCGCAGGTAATTTTTTTTCCCCAGGAAGTATCTCCTTTTATATGCTGCCCTGGTAAGACACTAGGAAGCTCAGATCACTCCCAAGTCTTTTGATTTGGACCACCTTCATTGGTGAAATATTATTTGAGCCCAAATATGTTTCTTTTCCTTACCCCAATTAAAGATGTTCTTTTTGCTAAGAAAACTGTCAACAGTTGTGTCACACTCTGCTGATCTCCATGGAAAGTATTGCCTTTCTTAATCTATTCCAAATATTAAATCTTAATCCGATCTAAAATAATTCAGTGACCTCTTTGTTTAGGAGGTTTTGTGACTAAAATATGTATAAATGAAGTCCACCTCTGACTTCGTCTTTCCATAGAAGGGGTTTCTCTCTGCAACACTCCTCCTGGCACTCTTTGCACAAACAAGGGTATGTGCTCAGTTGTTTAACATTTTTAGCTGCCAAGAATTGTTGGCGGAAGTCAGCTGTGCTGAGCTTTGCTACAATTTATGTGGTGAATCTCCACAAGCTTCACCATCGTAGGAATTCCTTTCTGCTCTGGTTGACCCAATGCTGCAGTATTCACAGAGGCTGGGCTCAGTTATCTCCACCTCTCACCCCCAAACCACCCCATACCCTGGCCATCCTTGTCAAATTACAGCTTCCCGTTTTACAGGGGGGACTGAAGTCATCCCAGTGGGAGCTCTCTTATTCTCGCTTCTCTGCTGCTTGAAATATCTGACTCATTACACAACTTTGCTTCTCGTTTCGGAAGAAATCTCCCTCCTTGTGGCCTGGGCTCTCCCGCTGCTCTTCCTCATGGTGTCAGCAGCTCCCCCTTTCTCTTTTCCCCCATCATAAAAATGCCTTTGCTTTTTATGACCAGATATCCCTTTACATCTTCATCTCACCCTCATCACTGCATCTCAGGCTAGGTGTCCTGAACCTCCACCTTCCCATGGACACTCATGTGTTCCGCAACTGGTGTACTGCATCCTGTGTGCAAGGTTTTTGCTGAAAGGCCTTTAAGTAGACTATAGTTTGCCAAGCTTCAGTCGTCATCTCTTGACCCAGAGGTTGCAAACTTGTGGCCCATAGGTTGGACCTTTCTTGCTGGTATACAGAGGCTTCAGTATATCCTTAATAGAGATTCTGGCAAGAAAAGACTGGAGGGAATAAAAGAGAAGAAGGTTTAGATGACAAAATTGCTTAGAGTTTTCTGTAATTAAAGGAAGACATATGTTGAGATTTTAAGTGTAGTTGGAGTCCAGAAAAAGACAAAGATAAAATGCCAACCAGGACTCATTATAGTACACCCACAGCACATTGCTTATCAGTGATAAAGATTTATCTTTAGAGTTCCTAACCTACAATGAAAAGATAGCTGAGCTGAGTGGCCTTATCTCAGAGCTTACATTCCCCAGCCTTTCCGTAGCGGCTCCTGCCTTTTCCCACACTTTCTGTTTGCCTGCTGGGCCCCAGGAATCTAGCTCTGCCTCAGCGCTCTGTGTTTTTTTCCGTCTGATTTGCTTGCCTCTTTTCTCAATCCTGCCTTCCTAAATGTTAGCCTTCCTGGACTTCTTTATCATCTTCTCCCCTATCTTCCAGACCCTTGGCTTCAGCTGTCATCTCTGTGGTTGTCCTGTGCTCACAAGTTCATAGCGCCAGTCCCACACTTTTCCCTTTATCAAAGTCCCACAGTCCCGGAGATACATTGGGCTGCCATCCCCGTGACACCATAGCATAATGGTCCTCAAAGTGCAAACTGGGGCCTGCTTATGGGTCTCTTTCAGGTCTCTTTCTGCAAGGCCAAAAATATCTGAAAATAATGCCTTTTACATGTCTTTTGTACTTGCTCATCTGCGTGTGCAGGGGAGTTTTCCAGAGGCCACAGTCTGTGTGGTGATGCATGTCTCTGATAGCTGTTCGGATGTGTGCTTGTGTATGCTTGTGTTTTTAAGATTTCTCACTTTTGATTTGTAATATGGTAACAATAAATAGATGTAACCCACATAAACACAAGCTCTTTGGGGTTCTCTGTACTGTTTTAAGAGTGTAAAGGAGTCTACCTCAAAACTTTAGAATCAACTCCTAATTTTGTAATGGCACCTCCTTTCCTCCCATTCCAAGATAGGAAACTTTGGAGCCATCTCTTTTATTTCCCGTTTACTCACCCTACAAACTGATACACCATGCCTTTTAGGTGAGTAGTTCCTATTACACCAGGAATGATACCTACAGGCCAGTGCGTACAGGAGCCTTAAAATTGTCACTGAGGATCAAGTAGTGTGGAGCCACTGATGAGTTTTCACCATTGGAGTAAAATGATGACATTAGTGATTCAGAATTAAAGGCCGCCTGCAGCATGTTCTGCACTGATTTAGTTGCTGAGTGGTTTTCGGATAGGAGTCTCACGGCCCTGATGTCCCCAGCCATGGTAACAATAGTGGCGTGCTAACAGCTCCCATATTGGCATTGCAGTGTGCTCTGTTTTTTTAAACATAATTTTTAACCATATTATATAAATGTATTAATTTTTTAAAAGAGGAAAACCTCAGGGAATAGGCAGAGCAAGGACATTTGTTCACATTTTGCACACTGAACTCAAGTTCAGATTGACTAGGAGACTTTCTCCAGGTCGTCAGGCTCAGAAGGACAGTCTTGTGACCCTCCGGCCTGTGACCAGGGAGAGAATGCTGAGGTTTGGAAGGGCACGTGGGAGGTGTGGCTGTAATCTAAGCATGCAGTAATATTTGCTTTTCAGATCAGCAACCAGACGGTTGGTTAAGTCCAGGTATGCGCGTACCTTGTGGCTCAGTTTTGTCCAGTAGCCACTCATGTCAGAGCAGTCCCACCAGCATAACCCAAGGACATGTAAGGAAGACCATGGGTCAGAGCCATCTCCTGGCCTCACTCCCTCTCCAGAGGAACCTGGGGAGAGTGTATGTGTCATAGGGGAAGGGCACACTCTGAGGGGCACAGCAGAGTTCTCTGAGGGTGATAAAGCCTCATTCCCCTTCCTGTGCATTGTAACTGCCCATCTCTGTGTTCCCCAGGAGTTACTGTGTCCTATATAAAGCATGCTTTAAAGTGATGTTAGGAAAAGCTGCTTGTTTTTTCTGCCACTGGAGACTATTAAAGCTCTGAGGAATCCTATGATAAAATAATTTATTAAACTCAGTTTATCCTATCATCTCCGAAGCTGATTTGAATTTGACCATGAAATTCTTTTTATTATTATTATTTTTTTGTACAATACCTAATAGTACCTATTGCACAAAATAAATTATCCTAAGGACATAGTTTGGGAAACACTGACTTGACTTAGTTCCATATTGTTAATATTGATTACCAAATAGGTATATTCTTTGTCCAGATAAACATTTAAAAATGACCATGAAAATCATTTAAACATTATTCTCTCCTTTGGTGTCTTCTCACTCTCAAGCTTCAAATTTAAATCCCCTTCCTGTCACTGACCCCCAGGTCTGCACCTTTTGCTCTCCCCACCCCATTTTTCATGGCCTGCTGTGCCTTTTTCACTGGGTGGCCCTTCAGCAACTCCATATGAATAAAGTTGAGTCTCCTCCTCTCACCTAGTCTATTCCTTGCTGCTTCCTTGTGTCTGTTAGTCACGTCATTGTCCCCCAGTCCCCCCAGTTCAGATGCAGTGGTGTCTTCGGCTCTGCTCCCTTTCTTTCCATGTCTTCATGTCGGGTGGCCATACTACTTCAAGGACCACCCCTGCCTCTCTGTGCTTTTTCCCACTGCCACTGGCAGCCAGCTGGGCTTCTAGTTTTTGATCAGCCCCTTGTTCATACATTTTCATCATGTCTCATGGTCTGCATGACAGAGTTCAAGTTCAGGCTCATGTCTAAGTCCTCCCACCATTGGATCCACCCTACTTTTCTGACATTTTTCCCAATAATGTTCTTCATGGAGTAATGGAAGTGCTTCTCAGAGTTACAGAACACCTTCATGTTCTTTCAACACAACTTTTATGCACCTTTGAATCTACTCTTCTCTTTGTTTGGGCTCTCCTTGATTTTCCATTATTTCCTTCGTGTCTTGTCAGCAAATCTACCCATCCTTCTAAGCCCATTCAGAGGCCACCACCCTTATGAAATTTTCCTTAGTCTTCCCAGCAGGTTATTATGTGTCCTTCTTCTGGGGCATCATAACCCTTCATGTATAGCCTTTTTATAACACTTACCAAATTCTGTCTTAAATTATAGTTAGTTGGATAATCTACCTTATGCTTACCTAAGCTCAGTGAAGTAGGCCTCTACCATCTACTACGTATTTGTGTCGTCTTCAGAGCATAAGCCAAGTCTTTTATGTAATTGGAATGAAAAAAATATTTGCTGAACAAATATATGTAGTTTTAAAATGTTATTTTAACTTTTACATGTATAAAATATCCTACTATAAATAGAAGATAATATAGACAATATTCTTATGTTCTTTAATTACAGCTCTTCTTGAGTGAATAGCAATGATGAGAATTCAAAGTAGTAGGTTAGTCACACAACTATTTTTAATTGAGTTATAAATGTCCCTTCATACTTAATGTAAACATGAGTATATTTATTGTTTCCAAACTCACTTCATACGGAATGAGGAAACCCTGACCAGGAAGCTTTGAGAACCTGAGTCTGTTTCCCAGGCTGCCCACTCAGCCGTCTTCACAGGGGAACTGGATGTTCTTCCTCACACCCGTGTGCTCGTTGCCATGCATTTCCCAGAATTGGAACGATGGCTGATGTTTGCATTTCAGATAACTTCCTTGTGTACATGTTAAGTAAGAAGAGAGATGTCAATTCAGCTTTCATTAAACAGATTACAGCCACCTGATATACATTAGCTTGAAGATAAATGTCAGTGTGGATAACTGGGAGCATTTACTAGTGCTAGAGCTCCAAGCTAACCCTTTACAGGTCCGGCCTCCTAGCCCCCTCTTCCCTAATGAGCACTTTTAAGAACACATTCCATGAAATGACTTCTTACTGGGAATCGTTTTAAAAGACGTGAGCCAGGAGACATTTTGCAATGATTATTCTCACATTTGTTTGGAGTATGGGTTTAATAAGACCATTGGCCTAATCATTTTCAGAAGAAGTACTGTGGTCCACTAGAGCAATGCTTCTAAGACACCACTGTGCATGCAGATTACCTGGGGGTCTGGTGGAAATGTGGAAGGTGATTCAGCAGGTTTGGGGGGAGTAGGAGATTGTGTGTTTCTAATCAGCTCCCACTGATGCAGACGCTGCTCCATGGACCACACCAAGCAGAGGCCTAGAGGAAGGTCTTGGGAATGGGGGATGCTGGGTTCTAATCCAGGCTCTACCACTTAGGCAAAATGGTTCACCTTTCTGGGTCTTACATTTCCTAATCTGCAACATGAGGGGATGGGAGGGAATGATGTCTAGCTGCTCTTTCCAGCCTTACATTTTATGATGATGTGGGAGGAAGTAAAAAGAATGAGGAGGCAGGCTGCCACCAAGGCATATTTATTTTCTTAATCTCAACCCAGTGTCCAAATTTTATTAGTACTTTATCTTAAATGTAGTATGAATGACAAAACACATTAAGGTTTTTCACATCTGTGTTAGAATGTGGACCTTCACAAATAATTATGGACTTATGATTTAATGAAGAAATTGCATGTAAAATGCACTCTACCCTTACTTTTTATGTATATTCTGTTTCTATTTCATTAGGAAATACTCCACAACTTGGGTGGGATTGGAAACCTGGCTCAGGTAAGATTCTGGATTCTGTGGTGGTGGCTGGTCTTGCCTCTTCATTCCACACCGTGGCTCTGGGCAGGGACTGGATAGGTATGTGACAGGAGACGGTTTTCCTACCGGAGGCTGCCTGCCAAGGGGAGGAGCAGGCAGGGTGATGGGCATGTGAGGCAGGCCATTCACAGAGTAGGAGGGGACTCGGGCCATTCTGTCCTGGTGAACTGGGCTTGTTTTATCCAGCCTGGTGAAATGAGACAGTTCTATAAAAGGTCACATGTCTTTAGTGAGGAATGGAAAGAAATAGGTGTTGGCTGGCAGGCCCAGATCCTCAAGCACTGCACACGCCACATGATGGGAGGAAGTATTGGTTAAGATGTTCATAGCTTTTTTTCACAAAAAAGAATTACTGTGCTCGCTAACATATTAAATAAATGGCAATGTGAGGACTGGATCTCGACTTCATTTAATTTTCTGTGTTGGTAGTTTATTTAAGGAAGATAAGCAGGTGAAAAAATATGCTGAGCCACACAGATGTTTGGATTTATTAATACAATAAAACAAAATTTCCAGTAAAACAAAATTGAGTTGGAACAGCCTATAACCTGTAGATGTATGGAAAGAATGATTTTCATAACAAACTCAAGGCCCTGCAAACTCATTCTGAATTATTAATGGAAGATTAAATTTAACATGAAAAATGTTTTATTATGTTTTTATTCTTGGAAAATTGCTACATCATGTGTAGTTCTTGTTTTTAAGCATTTAAAAAAATTGGCTGAAGGCTTACCTCATTTTATGAAGTAATCTTTCATAAAATTATAAAAGATCATATCTACTTTAATTTCCATTATAATATTAGAAATGTATGTGTGTTTTTCTGAGCCTCTTTCTCATTATAATCAGTTTTCCACAGTGAGGGATTATCAGATTATCCTATACCCACTTTATTCTGATTATTGTTATCTGCTTATATGCTGGTCAGATATAATTTAGGATCCTATCATTTAGGATATTACAAAACATAATATCAATAAAATATATGTAGTGTGTTATAAAAATTCTACTGAAAAGGTACATTGAAGAACTAAAATTCTCTGCCCTGTGTATTATGTATTTTGTTTGTATCTTATATTTGGAGGCTAAATTGCACTACAACCACATAGTTAGTTACAAATCATCTGGGGACTTTTGAGAGCTTTGATCTTTGCCTGATCCCTCCCTCAAGCTCAGGGCCTGCAGGAGAAGGCAGAATCCGGGAGCCCAAACCCCCTTTTGCATTCAGTGACTGGGCCCCGAGCACTGAGGATTATTTGGTGAATCTGTTGTGCCATCTACAGCCCATTGTCAGAAGTGCACAGTCTTGCCCCTCGTCTGCTCGCGTGTGTTTGGCGTTTTTTCCCTTCTGACTTGTTGGTTTGCTCCCTCCTGCAGTACATGGAGATTGTGGCCAATGAGTACCTTGGCTACGGTGAGGAGCAGCACAGTGTGGACAAGCTGGTCAACATGACGTGTAAGTGCTGTCGTGGGGACACAGCCAACTTTCCCGACTCGCAGTAGAAACAGCAGTAGGTGTTTGTAGCAGGACAAGGGAGACTGAATGTTCACAAGCGTCCCCACACACAGTTATGGTGGTGAGAATCTATGCCAGTTGTCATAGTCAGTGGCAAGATATGCTCAGAAGGAAAACTTGGAGATTATGATTCTTATCAATTTCAGGTTTAAGAAGTTTTTCACATTTTCACTGATCACAGCTAACTTTATTTAATGCAAGAGAGGCTTCTGTAGCAGCAGACCTTGGTAAAAATATTTTTTGCCTGTTTTGATTTCTGTTAAAATGCTAGAGGCAATTTCTATCTATAAAGTTGGGTTAATGGTAATACCGACCTTATAAAGTTTGGAACATTCAGAACATAAGAAAGAAGAAAAAACTTTGATGTGATGAGTTCTTTGGGTTACGGGAAATGAGCATCTCTGGCCAGCCTGAAGCACCAGGAAGGCTTTTTGGAGACCAGCTGTTCCCCTCAGCTGGGGAACCCTGCCAGGCCTACCTCCTTGTCCAGCCTTCCTGCTCCTCTTCATCAGCTGCAATCTTTACAGGGAGGATCTTTGAGGAATAGGTTTCACTTTGAACTTGTAATGATGTTAAGGAACTAATTCAACTTTCAGTGGAAGGGAGTTTGCCTGTTCTCTGTCCCCGTAGTTCACTATTAGAATAGTGGTGTGAAATAAATAAGAGTTGAGCCTGAGAGGTAATTCTTGGAGTAAAAAGAATAGCCCAGACCCTCCTTCCTCCATAGTTCCCCTGGTGTCACTTGTCCCATTTGCCCGGCTCTGCTTGCTCATCAGTACTTCAGACCTGAGGTCCTCTGAGAACTGGACTCTTTAAGCTCCGAATCCCTCTTTGAGCTATTTCCTTCCCTTATAGATATCTTTCAAAAACTTGCCGCTGTCAAGGACCAACGGGAATGGATCACCACAAGCGGAGCCCACAAGGTGAGTGGTCCCGGAAGGTGTTAGGCCTGCAGCCCTATGCGGCAGTCATTGGTGCTGGGCTTCAGGGCCCCGTGACCAAGCGACAAGTAATTATAATTCACAGACCTGCTAATCAGTCTACAGTGGTACATCTTTCTCTGCCAACTCTTATAGTCTTTGTCAGCCTAAGGAGTAAATGTAGAAACAGCAAATAGAAGTTTTCTGAAACTCTTTTTTTTCCTTTTCTCTATGCCACCTAATACCAACTGAGTTTATTGCTTTATTTAAATGTCGTTTGAGAAACCCTGGCACTATATAAACTGACCCTAGGTATGTTTTTACAAATAAACAAAAAAAAGTATATGTACACACATAAATTCCATGTGGTTCATAGAGTTATATTAGTTTAATCATTGGTCTGTAGGCCAATTTCATATGGCTTGACCTTATAATTGGATGGTATAGTATTACAAGCTATGGGTCAAATATGCATTTCAAGAGGGGTGAATGCAAGTTTAATCAAAACAGACCAAAGTTATATTTATAGCAAAACTATCTACATGGTAGCTTCCTACAGACAAATTTCAATAATATGTTGAATTCTCAGTGTATACTAAAGTAAGTTTTCCTAAAGTCTATTAACACACGCTGCTCATTGTATAGGGGATGATTCTAGGTAGTACAGAGGTCAACATTTTTCATTTCAATAGCTCTGTATTTCACTGATGTTATCACTTAGACTTTGAAGAAAATTTTTGAGTAATAGGAAAGTATAAAGTAGGTGTGGCAGGAATTATGGAAATGATTAGTCAATGACTGAAGTTTGGGGAGTAGTATGTTAGACGACAGAGAGAAAAAAGGAAAATAACAGCGGAATAAGAAGAAGGGATTGAGAAACAAAGATAATGATAGCTTCTCTAAAAAATGAATGAAGTGGTGAAGGGGAAAAGCTGACATGAACACCAAGAAATCATCCGAGAAGCCATTGCATGGTTGTGACTCTGGCCTGCAGTATGCTTAGATGTATATCTTTGGGGGTCTCCAAGTTCTAAAAGTGTGGTGAGAAGAGAAATGAATTTGCAGCAATGGAAATTCAGAGAAGACAACTGATAAGATACAGAAGACTTACAGCTAAGTCATGCCACTTAGCATGGTGTCTGGAAGAACTGACGCATGCTGTTTACGTTAGTTAGAAATCTGAGAGGCAAATGGAGTACTTAGTAGTGTTGATGTATCTTGCTTGGTTTGGGGGGGGGGGAATAAAAGACGGTTTTCAACATTTTGGTGAAAAATAGTTCCACAGTTTGGTAAGTGCCTGTCAGTGCCTGACTCGGTGAGTTCTCGGCAACTAGTTCCTAGTTAACACCAGTATTAGAACTGATGTTGTTAGCCTCCCCACTTCCCCTTGGGGAGGGTCAGAAAAGGCAGAGCAGACCTCTTGGGCACACAGAAACAAGGGGAAGTGTGAGAACCAGGCTGGCCCTGTAGCCTGGCCCCTTCCACTTCCTGCCCTGGGCAAGGACTCGCTCACTATAAGGAGCTGGTTTGCAGTCCCAGAGTACCGAGGGGGTTGACATCTGTCCGCTGGAAGGAACTGGATGTTGTGAATGTTGAACAAAGCTGCTCTTGTGGTTAATAAGCCTCTATGATCTTTGAAGGAAGCATCATGCCACTTAATCAGCGTGTAGTACTCACATAATTTAACTTTTTTAACTTCATTTTTCAGACATTGGTAAATTTACTTGGTGCCCGAGATACTAATGTTCTGTTGGGCGCCCTCCTGGCTTTGGCTAGCTTAGCTGAAAGGTAATGTACTTTAATATGTTTTCCACTTCTGTTGCTATAGTAATTTAGGTGGAAAAGATGCAAAATAGATCCATTTCTCCAGTTACTTACTACTTAGTTACAGTTTGTGAAAACTAAGTAAGAAATGCCATTAATATATTGAAGAGAATCCTGGATGGAAAACATCATTTTAAATTTAAGTTGAGAAGGGGAATCACAGTTTAAAATTTTATTTTCTTTTTCCTAATCAGAAATATTTATCTAGTCCTTCATCTAGCCCTCAAATTCTTCTACTTTCAAAATTACAATATTTCTTTGACAATTCAGTCTCCCTGACCTTCTTTTTTAATTCTCTCCTCTGTAACATTTTATGCTACATTTTCAAACGTTTTGCCCTTTAAAAAAATTCTAGATAACCCATCTGAAACATTCTCAAATGTTTTGCCCTTTAAAAAAATTCTAGATAACCCGTTCCATTATAGATGTCATGATTATTTTAAATAAAAGAGCTTTAAATACATTTTATGCCAATGAATGGATCACTGCTTCTCTGTTTTTTGTTTTTTTCCCCCAACTTTATTGGGAGTAATTAACAAATATAATTGTACATATTTCAAGTGTACAACATGATGATTTGGTATACATATACATTGTGGGATAATTACCAAGATCAAGATAATTAATGCATCCATCACCTTACATAGTTAACTCTTTTTGTGTATGATATGAACCCTTGAGATCTGCTCTCAGCAACTTTCAAATCTACAATATTGTATTATTAACTGCAGTCACCATGATGCACATTCTGTCCCAGCATGCATTTTTCCTGTAACTGAAAGTCGGTACACCTCATATCTCCTGATTTCCCCATTTCCCCCTCCTTCCAGCCCCTGGCAGCCACCCACCCACCATTCTATTCTCTGTTTCTCTGTTATCAGCTTTTTTTTTTCAGAGTCCACATGTAAGTGATTCCATACATTTGCCTCTCTCTATCTGGCTAATTCCCTTAGCATAATGCCCTGTAGATTCATCCCTGTTGTCACAAATGCCAGGATTTCCTGCTTTTCATGGCTGAATAACGTTCAGTTGTATACACACACACACACACATGCACATGTATATATATGTATATTACATATGTGATATAGATATAAATTGATAAAATGCACATATTTTATAAAAAACATATATATATAAATCACATTTTCTTCATCTATTTATCTCCCAAAGGACATATAGGTCATCTCCTATATGCTATAATTATACTTATATCATATATAAATCATATACTTATATATAAATGTATATGATATAAAAATATATCATGCTATAATTATACTGTTATTTAAAAAGTTTAAATTTATGACATATAATATTTCTATATTATACATATATAATATTTATTTAATGTTCAGTTTGATGTAACTTTGCCCCAAGAAGCTATATGGCATTTTGTTTCTCCCCCTGGGATAATATGATAGCTAGGATACTCAATAAATGGTTATGGTAAAATATGTTTTTAGAAGTTACTAATAGATTTTAATTTTTAGTCCAGAATGTAGGGAGAAGATAAGTGAACTTAATATTGTAGAAAATCTGCTGATGATCTTACATGAATATGACTTGCTTTCCAAAAGGTAGGATTACTAACAGGAAAAGATCATGTTCTATATTTGATGAAGATTATTATTATTATGTTATTTATATTGTTAGCTGAATATCTGAGACAGCTTGGCATTTATTTTCTATTTAAGTTTATATAAAGAAACTAGAGCAAAGAGGAATATTGATTTATCTTTGGTCCTGATTACTTCTAGATTTGGGCATAAATTCACATTATGTAAATCTTATGATCACATCTTTAATATTTTTACTTTTTGCATTTATTCACATCCTGTCTCTTTAAGGAGACAAATTCTGAGGTGACTATTTTTAGTAATTGTGTTAAATAAATTATTAGATTTCTAAAAATCTATTTTGCTTAAGGCAAGTAAAATAAGATAGCTACTGACTTGTTTCATGACCATCTGTTGTCATAAGTCAAAATAGAATCTAGAGTAGCATGAATTCATCTTCACTGAATTACATATTGCTCTAAAAAATTACTGTATCCAGATAGTTACTAGATTGTTTTTAAATAGACTTGCAACTGTCATCATTTGCTATTTATTTGAGTAATTCATAGTTTTATAAAGGGAAAAATAGGTAATAGACACCCCAAGTAACTAAACCCTGACACTTAGTTCATAGTAAATATCCTTGGATTTTTCTTCACAGCTAATTTAACGCTCTTTTACAAAGTGTCTTTACAGATTTAGTCATCTGAACTTACTCTCCTAACAGTCTTTGCATAAGTGTTGGAAAGCCAAAGATGTATAAGAAGTGTGTGTATAGAGTAGGAGAGGGGACAGACATAAAAAATAGGTGCCACTGGAAATCCAAGATGCAGAGGACACCCTGGGAGCATAGAGCAGACATTCCCAACCAGGGCGAGTGTCCTGAAGGAAGGAGAAGTTACCTGGACAGACGGAATGTTCTCCCCACCTGGAGGCATGAAATAGGATGCGTCAGAGGAACTTGGGTGGTTGTGCGCAGCTGGAGCAAAGAGTGCAGAAGGGAAAACGCCAGAAAACTAGATAGTCGATAATAAAAATGTAGCTGATCTTGGTCAGGCTTTCTATATGGCAGACACTGCACTAAGCACTTTTGTGTGTTAACTCATTTGATCTACGCAATAACTATTAATTTCCGCATTTTACAGATGAACCAACAAGCCATCTTTAGCCAGGCCATGCTGGGCTCTTTGTGCTAAATAAATAAAGAGTATGTTTTTTATCACGAACATTATGGGGACTCCCAGATGTATTTTGGGGGAGGATTGCTCTGATAGCAGTGTGTGGAGTAGGGAATATTGTTATACAGTGAGATCCACTTAGAACAAGGAGGGGGGATGTTTGGCCCAGAAAGTTTGAGGAGGTAAAGAATATTTCTTTCCAAAGAACATATGTTCTGAATGTCAAAGCATAAAATTTTTGAAGGTAGAATAGCAATGGAAAATTGGTTCAGGGGAAAGGAATTGTAAAATATAGAAATGAGAATATTAGAGAAGTAGATGGCAGAGGGCTTATATCTTGAATAAAATCAAGGATCACAAAAACAGAGGGACAGCTAGCTGCACTACCCACAGGAGAGTTCCAGGAGTTGCCCAGGAGATAGGGGACACTGAAGGCTCTTGATTGGCAGTGGCAGGTGGCAGGTTGGGAAAGGAGAAGCAAGTGTCTTATGTCTTGGGTGATTCCTAGTCCTCTGGCTTGGAAAATTGAAAAGACTGTGGTATCATGAGTCAAGATCACGGAAATTAGAAGAGTTGATTGGAGGATGAGGATAATAATATTGAATCTAGACACATCTAGGTGAGCACCTGTGCAACAGCCGTAGGCTGAAACCATTGGAGGTCAGGAGTATGCCTGAGCCCAGCTCACCGTGCCATGGCAGAGGGAGAGTTTAAAGCCATGGGAATGAATGGCTCTGTCCAAGGAGAGTATTCAGAGTGTGAGACTGGAGGATTAAGGATGGTTCTATGAAATGTCATGATTGTAATGTTTCAGAGCTCAGCTGAACCTTATGTCTTATGCCACCATTATTTTTATTTTACTCACCAGATATTCACTGAGCCCTTGGCATTTAGTTCCCTTTCATTATAGTGTTGGTGATATTTTATATTAATATTTTGTTTTTGTAACCATGTAGTAAGTTTCTAAAGGCTAGATAAAGCTTTTCTGTTTCTTTGTCTTGAGCACAATGCAGGTCCCATTGTGAATACCTGATACTTATTTCCTGGTTTGGGGACACAAAGAGGATATGGCTTAGAACAGCTGTCAGCAAACTATGACCTGCAGGCTAGATTTGGCTCACTGCCAGTTTTTGCAAGTGAAGATTGATTCACTGGAACACAGCCAAGCCCATTCATTTTTATGTGTTGTGTATGGCAGCGTTTGTGCATGTTGGCTTGATTAGGCAGTTGTGACAGAGACTGTGTAGCCAGCAAAGCCAGAAACATTTGGCTGTGGTCCAGAAGTTTACAGAGAATGCATGCTGACCTGTGACTTAGTAAATGTTGGAGTCACAGTCTACGTGGTGACTGTAGGTCTAGTCTAAATGTAAAGTCTGTAGCCCAATACACAGGTTCTCACCCCTCACCCCCACTCCCCCTTTCAGACTGACTGCAGAGCTGCTGCGCCTACTTTGTGCAGAGCCCCAGGTGAAAGAGCAGGTGAAGCTCTACGAGGGGATCCCCGTCCTTCTCAGTCTGCTGCACTCTGACCACCTGAAGCTGCTTTGGAGCGTTGTCTGGATTCTGGTTCAGGTTTGTGAGGACCCTGAGACCAGTGTGGAAATCCGCATTTGGGGCGGCATCAAGCAGCTTCTTCATATTTTACGTGGGTGAGTGACAGTGGGCTCTGCCCCAGTCATTGAAGGAGGGGATTCTGCTGCATGGCAGAAGATTGGGTACATGTTCACCTTGTGGTCATTCATGTTTTGGAGAGTCATTCATGCTTGTCACAAACATGCTGTAAATCAGCATCAGGGGCATTTGTCTTTTAAGGTCCTTGGGAGCCCTGATACATTTGTCTTTGCATCTCCAGCCCCTGTGCGGTGCAGGAATGGGGAAGCTGTCTGCAAGTGTAGGTTAAATGGAAACCCAATAACCCAAAGAAAACATTTATCTTGTCACCTTTTTGAGTCAATATATGCATAAAGAATCCCAACAAGTACAGTAATTACTACTGTTTTACTAAAATATATGTGTAACTGTTGTTCGTCTATAAAGAGAGAGCAGAGCCCATGGTGAAAGGGCAGGTATATAATCCTTAGATCAGAAGAAAATGCTGTTGGTCAGATGATTGCCGTGCCCTGACACTGGCCCACATGTTCTCTTCTCCCTTATCTCCATCGCAGTCCTCTAAGCTGGAGGGCCCTTACTGCCTTTCTTTTGAAAGTAGAATTTCAATGACTTTCAAAGCCTTGAGTATGGGGAGGGGATGGTTTCTTAAAACAGTATCAGATGGAAATTCTCTTGAAGTCTATTGAAGTAACTACTATCTTGTATGTATTAGATATATTGAAGTGTTGTATAACAACATTTTTGGTACCATCAGTTGGAAGGTTCTATTACCTAAAACTATTGTAAAGCACAATTCAGCCCTATGGATGCTGAATAAAAGCTGAAAAGGAATATGTCTGCCTGAAAGGGATCACACTTATGATCTATAGTATATAAATACATCTCATTCTAATAAAAGCAGAGTGACTTACCAATTTCAATATGACTAGATATTATAAAATCAATATTATTCAGACTTTATGCTTTTTATGCCTCCAGGGATATTGCAGAACTATGTGTTATCAACTTCATTTTCTCTGATGGAGCATTCCGAAGTGTAAGAACAGACTGTAGAGATGTGAACAGTCATGATTTCTTTCATTACCAAAATGAAGGGAAAAATTATAGATGTTAACAATCTGCTTGCTTTTATGAATATCACATACAAATCTCAAAAACTTTATAAATCATAAATATTTCACTAGTACTGTGGCATAACAAGCTAGGCTTTTGGTCAAAATAATTACATTTGACAAAGATTTTTTGTATTGTTTTGCTTGAGTTAAAGTATGATGGTGATGATGACAGTGGTGGTTATTATTATTGGTCAATTTATCTGTTACAACAGTTATGGGTTGCTCTCTTGGAACATAGTTATTTTCTTGATGATAAAATTAAATTCTGTAATAGTTAAGCAATACTTCAAAGATAAAATCTACCTTTGAACCACACAGAACTGACTTTTAATACAAGGCACTGATGCTCCGGTTTTGCTAAAGCAGTAACTCTCCTTGATAGAGTTTTTTCACTTGAACTCCCTTCTGATAGGCGAGTCTGAAGAGTCATTTTCCCAGTCTATTTCTATGTTGTGATGTTAGAAAAATTTCCTGGGAAGATGATATATGTCAACACTTATTCTATGTTAAATATGTCTCAGTGCCCTGGGAGAATTTATTACCCCAGGTGGGTAAACAATATCCTTTTGGAGCTTGTGCCTGCCTCTGGGCTGCCTGGAACTGGTACAAGGGGTGGAGGTTGCCAGGTAGTCTGCTGGCTTGAGTGTGAGCAGGAATTGTTGCCATGGCAGTTTCCAGGAAACCTGTTCATGCCCATTCTCCTGCAATCCTAAAGTCAAAGATGGTTCCTACAAAGCAATATATTCCTTTTTTTTTTAAGGAAAAAAAGAACTCATGCAATTAATCATAAGAAATAGCTTTTTAGAAAGTAAATTTTCATGTTTCAAAACAAAATACCTTAGGAGAGAGAGAGAGAAACTCATGGATTGATTTGATGGATACCTAAGATGAAGAATAAGCCCTTAGAGGGTAATACACTCTTGTTCAGGGAGTGATCCCTGAAGTTTTTGTTTTAACATTAATTATCACAGATCCCTGATTGTGACTATCCCTAGGCCCAGCTCCACTGCCTTCCATGGGCTCATTGAAGGAAGGACATTAGTGGTCCCAGATGATGTGGGAGGGAAGCCAGGAAGACTCCATCCACATTACATTCAGGCACATAGAAATCCAGATAGAGCTGCTGCCACAGAAAATAATTTCATGAAAAAATACGGTAGTCATGTAAAATAAAAGGGAACAAAGCAGGTAAAAGACACGAAGAATGCATTGAGGAAGATGTTGCATTAACTAATCAGAAAAACAAATGTTTTATTTTATCAAAGATGTTAAACAGAACATGATATTTATGAAATGAGGTTAAAAATGCGATGATAGGACCATAAAAAGGGAAGGAGAGAAATTGAAGAGCTAGGAAAGAAGACAAGGACTGAACGATATCCAGAGAATTAAAAACTTCTCAAGAACCACAAAAAAAACATGGAGTTAAGTAAAGGAAGGGCAAACTTGAAAAAATTGCACAACACAATGCACAGGAAAAAGATAAAGGAGTGGTAGCAACTACAAAAGGCAAGACATGGCCCACAGAAAATGAATTTTCAACATGTGGGTAATTGATATCCCTGAGTTAGAGATTAAAATAAAAGGATTAAAAAAATAAAAGATATAACAGAAGAGAACTTTCCTAAAATGAAGAAATATTGGAATTTCATGGAAAAAGAAAACTCAGAATGATGAAGACTGAGATGTATTCAGATAAATTGATTGCAGCAGAATAAAGTTCAGAAACAAAAGTGTCTGTGCAGAACAGTGGGGAAAGGACAATCCTCTCAGTGCTAGTGCTGAGTCAGTTCAGTAATATTATAGAAAGGAAGGAAGGAAAGAGGGAAGGAAGGGAGGGAGGGAGGGAGGAAGAACTCCTACCTTACACCATCACAAAAACAATTCTAGGCCGATTGGAGGGTGAAACAATAAAGAGGAAACTTCATGACTTGGGGGAGGCAAAGATTTCTTAAACAGGACCCAGAAAGCACTAATCATGAAGGAAAAATGGTAAACTGGTCTATGCACTAACTTTTCGTTTTTCAGAGATAGAAACTTTGTTTCTGATCGTTCTTCCATTGGAAGCCTGTCCAGTGCAAACGCAGCAGGCCGAATCCAGCAGCTTCATTTGTCAGAAGATTTAAGCCCTCGGGAAATACAAGAAAACACTTTCTCTCTTCAAGCTGGTATTTATAGCATATTGTTATATCTTACTACTTGATATGGTTTAACAGATTGTTTTATTATTCTCTGTTACAAAATTAGCATGATAATATTAATTAGGCACAATTTGTAAGTTTAAAAAAACAGGTTAAATCCATGTAGATGTCTGAAACTCCTTGTTACCAGTGTTGGACTTGAAGATTAATGATGCCACAAACTTTCCTCTCCCTTCCACGTTCTGAGCACATTGAGAAGTCAACATAGAAGTCAGGTGTAAAGAGAGCTGAGCATTAGCTTTATTCCTGGTAAAGCTGGATTAGAGAATGCAGCTTGATTTGTGGCCAGGATCGTGGCTCTTGTTGCTTTCTAGATCTTGGGACCACCTCCTTAAGGGAGATTGGACAACGCACATGCACCCATTCCACTGGGAGCAAGGGAGTGCCTTCCTCACAGCTCATGAGCTCCTTCCGAGAAGACAGAGACCCTGCCCTGGGTGGGATTTCCACTCAAAAGCTGGGTCAGGGATAGGTTTACACACTGGCACTTTGGTGCACCCTGGAACAGGTGTGTAGTCTACGCCCTACACAGGGGCACTTGGCCTTAGGGGCAAGGGGAGCTGCAGTGCTGCTGAGCAAGGTGGACACTGACAGTGGCCCCCAGGAGAAGAGCAGAGAGGCATGGGGTTAGTGAGCAACTGGAGATCCTCAGATGGGAAGAGCCGATGCTGCAGTGGGATGGGGAGAGGGGCAGGAAAGGGCCAGCTTTGCTCCTTGCTATTTCCTCCTGGAGAATGGAGAAGATGTTTCTTCAGACATATGAGGTCAGCGAAATAGGATCCCCTGCTTGAGAAAGGCCTCTATGTCAATGTAAGGGCTCCGAGGCCCTGATCCAGAATCAGAGCTCCTGATGTCTCCGCCTCAAAGCGAGGATGAGATGGCTGGTAGAGGTTAGAGGGCAGTTACCCACACTCCAGATGATGGGGAGGTTACTGCCTGGGAAGGAGCACAGGTGGCTTTTGGAGCTGGAAGTGTTCTATGAATTCATCAGAGTGGTGGTGTCTACGGAGTATATAGATATGTAATATTTCATCACGTGGAGGAGCATTTACAATATGTGCAATTTGCACAGCTCATTTTGTACTTCAGTAAGAATGAAAAATAAAATGAAACATAAGAGTTTGGGAGTGAGGTCTGAGTTTTGCTCCATCACTTTGATGACCAAGTGGCTGGGGACAAATACCTTAACCTCTCCAAGCCTCAGTTTGCGCATATGAAATGGGGATGGTAACCATGGTGTCAGTGGTAGGGGGTCACTGTCAGAACTATGTGAGGGTCTGTGGAAAGTCCACAGCACAGCACAGGGCTAGAGGCAAAGGCTCAGTGAGATGCTGTTATCCTTTATAGCTGCTCAGTGGTATAGGAGCCCGTCTACCTCTGGTTGGACAAGGAGGGTCTCTGTACAGAACACCACCAGAGGCAGCCATTGGTCAGGGCATGGGATATACTATCTGGTGGGTTGGGCCAGACTTCTATCCCTGTACACTCACTTATGCTGTGGCCTAGCCTGTTAACCTCCCTGAACCTCATTTTCCCATCAGTAAAACTCTACTTATAACACTTAATTTGGATAATATATTTAAAATATTCATTTATTCAAGCACTGCAGATGTACTTATTGAGCACCTGCTAAGTGCTGGCACATGTTGGGTGTTGGAGAGAACCTGTCTCTGCCTCTTGGTACACAGTAAGTGCTCAATAAAAGACTGCTGCAGGCTGTACGTGTGTATGAGTTACAGAAGAGGAGAGTTAGAAGCCATTACAAGTCAGTTTCCCTTCTCCCAGGGCTGCCCTGGAAGGAAAATTAGTCCTTTTTGAGGAATCACTCTGCTAACAAATTCCCTGTGAAGTGAGTGTGTAGCAATTACTCTGCTCCAACGTTTGGTGTTTTCTTTCCAGCCTGCTGTGCCGCCCTCACCGAGCTGGTGCTCAATGACACCAACGCCCACCAGGTGGTCCAGGTGAGAGCGCCGCTCTCCCGTGTCAGGGCTCCATCTCCAGCGCCACGGCTGACCCCTCCTCAGCTTGCACCCACGTTGCCGAATGGTGCTTTGGGATGCCATCATTTGGTTTCAAAATATTTTAATATGTTTCCTTTAACTTACGGAATCTATTTTGCATTCTTGTCTTTCCTCCTGTAACTCACTTGGCTTAAAAAGAACTGACAGGCGGTTAGTGAAGGTGTTTCTTCTCTCCATTATGTGCAGTGTTTTTTATCTTCAATATCTTTTTTTTTGTAAAAAAAGCTCTTCTGAATTGCCTTAATTCTGGGCATATAGGATACTGTGTAAGGATAGCAGTCACTTCAAGAGTACATGAATTGCAACACAGCAAACAGAATATTTAGTGCTGAGAAATGGGTATTATGGAGCATATAATTTATTAGTCAACCCACTGTCTACATAGCTCTCCATATGTGTGTGTGTAAACATCATCCTTGTATGAGTTTATATTGCCAAAGTTACCCTCTGTCTATTGAATTTTAGCAAATTTTTCTGTCTGTGGGAATATAACAGACTCAACTTCAATATCAAAATGCATAAATATATAGATGTTAGTAAGAGAACAGGTCACCAATGATTAGAGTCCCTATGGGGAAGCTCAGCAAATCAGAGAGTAATTGGAGGACATTTTTTTTCCCCAAAAAATTGCAGTAATTGTTTGGCCTTGTTCATATATGGGTTTAATTTCTGCTATCATTCCTTGCTGTCTTGGCTCCTGGAAGAATGATTCAGCCTCTCTAAGTTTTGGTTTTCTCATTATAAAATGGAAATTATAGACTAATTCACAGAATAGCTATAAAGATTAAGTGCAGCCAGGTAGGAAGAGCTCTTCCCAGTTATAAATGCCCAGATGTGGAAGACTTCAATGAATTATACATTTAATAGATAATAGAAAAGTAGTAATAAGTTAATATTTTTGGTCATTCCTCCATGCATGTATTTGTATTAGAATAAATCTAGAACAATGTTAACCATGCTTTCATGAATAACTTTCATTGCTTTAAAAAATCTATTATTCTTGTTTCTTTTATTTTTCTACAATACTTTATATGTATTATTTAATTACCAACTATAAAAGGAGAAATACTTCACTAGGTATTTAAAATGCAAAGTGTAAAGTTATTTTCATCCCTTTACTCTGTCCTTTTTTATCCCCTACTTTTTGTTTTTAAAAATACCCAAATCACTTTAAATTGAGATAGTTTATTATTTGTGATCTTTAAAGACAGTTGAAATTTTAAGATTGTGATTATTATGTCTTTGGTATTTGAAAGTATTACATTGGCATTGTTAGTATTGTCCTGTAATATTTACTGAAAGTTCCAAAATTGTACTAACATATCTTCTTTAGTATTAATTTTGGAGATTGTTTAGTTAATTTCTTTATGCTTACATATCTCTATGTTATTGTCACTGGTCACTGGTAACATGATGCTTTTATTCTTCCAGGAAAATGGTGTATATACAATAGCAAAATTAATTTTACCAAACAGACAAAAGAATGCAGCAAAAACTAATCTATTACAGGTAATAAACATGTCCATGGTTCTTCAATATCAAGTTACTGAAGTCCAGGGAACCTCTGATAATATAATACGAGTTTTAGAGTTTTTAGGTTAGTGTGGGGCCCCTGTGCTCACTGCAAGACAAAGTATCTGGTGGGGAAGGCTGGCAGGGAAACAAAAATGCTGTTAAAACAATGTAAAAGGCTTAATGGTAGTTCTCTGTGTGGGGATCAGGTGATTTTATTTAGGTGTTTCTTTGCTTACCACTAAGTCCTATTTTTTCAAAACATGCATTGCTTCTGTATCAGAAAATAATAAAAGAGGATAGTTATATGCCATCGTTAAGCATGGACCATAGTCACTAATGTTTCCCCTTTACAAAGGAAAGCCTGTAAAATGGAGCTTGATGAACAAGGAGGGACTTGCCAAATGGATAATGGAATATGAGGGAAGCACCAAAGGCATCTGCTACAGGGTGGAAGGGCATTCCACACAAAGGGAACAGCACATGCAAAGTGCAGGAAGCTGACAGCCTGCAGTGTGCTTAGGCTGCTCAGTGGGGCAAGGCGTGTGTTTGCGGAGGGAATGCCTCAGGAGATGAGGTCTCACAAGCAAGAAGGGGGCACATTATGCAGAGTCCAGTGTGTTTTTCTGAGGAGAGGACATTGGCGGCCAGTGGCCCCACAGACACTGAATTGATGGCATCAGATTTGCAATAAGCCGTGGCAGTGGTTGCAGTCGTCTTTTTTCCAAGTCATTCAGAAAAGGGAGTAAAAAACGACCTTTGCCTCCTACCTGATTCATGAGCTGCTGCCCAGAATAATGGTCAAAGCTAGGAGAGAAGTTCTGGTGGTGTCTGGGGTCAGGAGGCAAGGGTTTTGGAGAGCCACAGATGAGATCACACAGGGGGGGCACTTTGTTTCCTTAGTGCCCCGCAGATGCACAGCACGGTGCCGGAACACAGACGAAGTCAACTCCATCCTGCAGATGCATTTTGTTAAGCCAGTAGAGTTTTTAAGAATTTGCACTGAAATGGCTTTTGAGGACCGTACATACTGTCTGCTTTCTCATGATGGTCCCCACTGCTCTCTCAGCAGGCTCCTTCATGCCATTTTGTTACCTGCCTGGCTCCTTGGGCAGTTCTCTTTGTGAACCCTCTTCATATATATTCTGATCACTCATTTTATCACATGATTCCAGATTCAAATTCAGCTGTTCACCCCAGGGGTGGCGTATCATGCAGGTACTGATGGCTGGGGGCTCTCTCCCTTTTTTAGGTCCTGCAAAATGTCAGATGTTTATTTTTCTTCACTGAAGTCTCCCAGGCTTCTTTTGGAGTGTTCTTGGGAGTTACTGTCGATTCTTCTATTTGGGGAACACTTAAGACTCTTTACTCAAGAGGCCAATTTGTCAAGTTTGAGTCCAGTGTGCTTGTGGCTATTTTTATATGTCATGATTTCTAGTGTTTATTTTCTCACAGAAACTATATAAATATTGAGGCATACATAGCAGGCTATAAACAAAATAAATCTTCAGCTCCTGGAAATCTTTGGCCATTTGGTTTTCTCAGGGTAGGGATTTTATATCTTGTTTCTGGTCTAATTTTGCACTTTCTAGAAAGGAATTAGTGACAAACGAGTGAATTAAGGCCAAAGGTCCCTGGCATTCTGCAAAATACATGCATTTTTAAATATGAGAAATACACCAAGTATTCACATTTTTGGTTTACAATCACAAGGTTTGGCTCCCCCCTCATGCCAAGCACTCACATTAAAGCCAGTTTAATGTTTACTTCATAATAATCCTATTTCAGAAATGTTTTAATTTATTGAGCTGCCATTTGAGAATTATGTATACTTTTTTCCCCAGTGTTATGCATTCAGAGCCTTGAGGTTTCTCTTCAGTATGGAAAGAAACAGACCGCTCTTTAAAAGGTATGAGCTTGGAGAAATTTAAGTGACCAGAGATCGGTCATTAGATTAAACTGTTTTCGCATACTGATTTAGATGCAAACAGTAAAGGAAGAATGAATCACTATACAGAACATGTGTCTTCAGATTTCTTAGAATCCAGATAACACCGAGTTCCCCTACTGTTACCTTAGCACTGAAAACTAACAAATGATGAAGAAAGGGCATGAATCACTATAGCAATACAGCTCTTCTTAATTACTGGGACTGCTATGATGTTTAGTTTTTTTTTTTAAGGCATGAACATTTTTAATGGGTAATATCAAAATATGAGAAATTCCATTGAGAAATTCCAAAGTTGATCTAGGCATTTCCTCCTAATAGAAAAAAAAGTATTTGTCTGGCCTTCCTCCATAGTGGAGAAGCTCATTTAAAGGGGAGGAGGCTGAGCTGGTGAGCATGACAGAAAAATCACCACTTCGGAAAGCAAACACTAGTTGCCTATATCTGTGGTCTGCGTACCATTTACTAGGGCAGGTTAGCCAAAATCATAACCCCAAGTTCTTACTAGGATTTTACTGATAAGGTAGAATAGAAATAAAACCCTGAGTTAATAGAATTTCTTTTGTTCAGGAGCATGTAGCAATTTATGTTGTTACTTTGTTTCCATATGACACTTGAATCTGGGGGAAGAAGGGGAAGTAAAATAGTTATTCATTATAACCTTTCCCTTTCAAGGCCCTAAACCCATTCATTTTAGTGGACTTGAAGATTTTAATAAGCCTTTGAAGCCAGTACCTTGGAAATGATGCATAAGTCTCTACATTGTTTATCTGTGATTTTTATAAAAAATTTAAAAATTGAATTAATATTTACCTCCCAGGGTTAATATGAGGACTGAATCAAATGGCATTTATGAAAGTGCTAGGCACTCAATAAACACCCAGGAAACATTTCTCCCTAATGTGTTTAATACTATACCCCCAAGTATCTTACAAATAAGGTATTTGTACTACCTGTATCCTATCATTTTTAAACAAATTTTTAAGTGTCAGCATGATGTTGTTAGCTGTAAGACCAACGTTGTTCAGCAGATCTCTAGAACCTACCCCTCCAGTTGTTTCTCCTTGTCTCTTAAGAACCAGCCACAGTTAATTTTGTGAGAGAAGCTGCTGAGCATTCCCCTCCACTCTGTTGATAACCTAAGGAAGTTAAGTTTGTTCCATGCTATTAAATCAGTGAGTGGCTACATCACAAAGGGAAGGAACAAGCAACAGTTTCCAAGCCCTAAGTGATATGTATATGTGTATTTTTCCCTGTAGACTTTTCCCCACCGACTTGTTTGAGATCTTCATTGACATAGGACATTATGTTCGTGATATCAGTGCTTATGAAGAATTGGTATCAAAGCTGAATTTATTAGTGGTAAGTCCTGGGTTTTAAACATCTCATCAGGCTGCTGTGTGGCCAGGATGGAATTCATCATACAGCCCATTTCCTTTTTCCGTTTTGATTAGGAGGATCAGCTAAAGCAAATTGCTGAAAATATTGAAAGCATTAATCAGAACAAAGCTCCTTCGAAATACATTGGCAACTATGCGATTTTGGATCATCTTGGAAGTGGAGCTTTTGGCTGTGTTTACAAGGTGACTTTGCCCTTGGAAAACAACATTTCTGATATTCTCAAGCAAACTAGACGTCCCACTTGCACACCCACATGCAACTGAATTGGAGCCTTGATTGTTGAAAAATGGTGAAAAAATACATATAAAAATTAGAGTGATTGTTTCTGTCTATCAGACAGTCCATGTTGTCTTATCTTAGCTCTCATCTCTAGCAATTGGTCACTGACCTTTGAGGACAAAAGCCATTGTTGCTCTCTCAAAAAAATAGTCAAAATGGCTTGTTCAGTGTGTGACACAGTCTCTAAACTCAGACCAGCATGTGAGTTCATATTTACCCAGTAAAAATCTCACTAAGCATTGCAGACTGGCCCAGGAGAT